TAGTAGTAGTAGTACAAGTAGTAGGACTATTAAAGTAATCACAGTGACTACCTCCCCTTTCTCCCCCTCCCCTTGCCCTTGTCCATCTAGAATAGTACTTTTGTCGTCCCCCCCAAACAGAAAAATAGAAGAGTAATAATGCCCCCCCCCCCCTTCCCACTTGCCCCTGCCCCTCTCCCTGCCCTTCGTGCTCGTCCCTGAACTGATAATAGTGGCTGCGTCCCCCCTCCCCCTGCCCCTACCCCTGCCCCTCTCGTCCACCTTCCTTCATCCCTTCAAAGGTACCTCGAAATTATCATCATGGCTGCACCCCATTCTCGGGGTTCTTAAACAGTTTCGGGTGCGCCCTCGCTCCGCATGAGGGCCCTTCCATTGATCCATTTACCGAACGCCAAGAGGCCAGAAGATTGTGATCGGATTCGCACGGCCATGAACACGAACCCACCAAGTCTTAGCCAGTTACCTGATTCAGTTCGCCCTCCAGCGGAGACTCCGTGTGTGCTACAATAGCCTTTGCCGCCCCCTGATATCGGCGTCTACATCTTGAATTTCTTTCACTGCATTCATCCCGTTTGGACTTGCCAAGGCCCTAGGCATGCTGCTCCCAGCAAGTTTGTGTCATCAGGTATCAGGTGGCTAGCAACAATGACCGGGTCAAGTGTGAGCTCACAACACACATAAGAAAGACATGAAAGGAGAGAGACTCATTTGTGTCTTGTGTTCTGAGTGGCAGATTTTGCGCTACCGCTTCACTCCGTGAGCGAGTCGGTCGGTCCGATCTGAGCCTTCGGGCAATGCACATGGTGACATGGCGCTGGCCTCACTGGCCGCTATTGCAATTAATATCAATCCAAAGCTTCGAGCTGATTTGGCCGATCGGAAAGTTAACCGCGAATGCAAGCCTACATTCCCGCTCCAACAAATTGAAATCATACCTGGCCAGTAATGGGAACTCTTGATTGGTAACCCCTCCCCGCGCAAGGAAGGTCAGCTGGTGGCCCGCCCCCAATAAATCTGGCGGGTTGCGGGCTTGCCACCCAGCACTCCTTCTAGGGTTTTGCAGGGCAGGTACAGTCGACAACCGACGTGGTAACAGTTTTTTTGTGGAAATCGCCCGACACTGGGGGAAAGCACGAGCATAAGCTGTAACGCAGCGGCGTTTCTTTGGGGCAAGCCAGGAGTTTGCATGCCCGTCATGGAACTGCCGTCTCCGGCGGCCGGCTGGATTTTCGTTCTCTGGTTGTACGGAACGGCCGTCCCCCGGCGGCCGGCTGGATTTTCGCTCTCTGGTAGTACGACTGTAGTAAACCCTCGCCTTAAGCCCTCGACCCTAAACCCTCAAACCCTCAAACAGTCAAACACAAGCAATAACAAAACACGATTGTTCTGCGACGGCCGGATTATTAATCAGGGGGGGTTGCCTTGCCTGGGCTGGGCCGTTGCAGGCTTGAAAAATTGAGTGTTTTACACAAGCCTTTGATTTAAGATTTCTTGCTTGGCCATTTCTGGAATTTCTTCACTTCAGCCCTGTTTAATGTGTAGGCCCCTGAGCCCTTCAAACCCCCTAAACCCTAAACCCTAGACCCGAGAATAGGCAGATGCCTACATGTCGTTCGTACCTACATGACCGAAAGCATACAAACCGAACTAATCATGTTAAATATTGCCTACATGCATTTCGGGCCTACATGACTGAAGCATACCAATCGAAATAATCATGTTAAGCATTGCCTACATGCCGTTCGTACCGACATGACCTAAAGCATACAAACCGAAATCTCGTGCCTTTTGTGCTTGCATGACCGAAAGTGTGCAAACCGAAATAAGCATGCTAAATATTTCCTGCATGCTTTTCGTGCCTATATGACCGAAAGCATACAAACACGTAGGTATCGCCTACATGTCTTTCGTACCTACGTGACCGAAAGCATACCGAAATAATCATGTTAAGTCCTCATTCGTGCAAGGGCGCAAACAGAAGGGACGAATCACAACCACCTTCACCTAGCTTTGGTGCTTCATCTCAGTCTGCAGGCAAGCTGGTTTTTGGAGATGATTGGGGCAGAAGGTTGCCATTAATCGGG